GAAGGAACTTTGGATAAATTAGTATCATTACCCGATTGTCTAATACATCTCAATTAATCCACGAAGCTCGAACGTTATACTGGGTGAATTTTCGAATGCATCATAATTGACACTATCTCTATGTTCGCCTACAACTCGTGTTCTGATTACCATGATGGGCTTATTTCGCTAATATAGTAAATTTAGACAGGGAAAAGCAAGTGTGTCTGTTTCCCCCTTATCTAACTGGTTTGAAATGACATTATTATCAAGGTGTTACAACGAGGTGGATGCAGTTGTGTATGACATCTTAGGACTCGTGCTTACCTTCCAGTCAAGAGATTTGTTCCAATCGTCACATGAAGGTTAAACTATACTGAACAAAATAGAATGAAAGTGGGGAAAATGATTTGATGACACTCTATGGACTGAAGTTTATGCGACGAGACTGGACCATCATTCGACTGTCAGTTACAGAACAGAGGAACTCTCGACGCGTGTACGCCTTTGATGACACACCAAAACTCTATCCGTGATGTTGGGTGGGAACAGTGAGAAGATAAGCCGGTGTGCAAGTTAGGCAAAACTGGAAGTATCAGAGTGGCCTTTAGGCCAAGCCGGATGTAATGAAACATCTGTTGTCCGGATTTATGTGCGAGCGAGTACCTATACAGTTAGTTTCAATGACTAAACTCAGTCATCTCCAGGTCGTTACAAAGTAAGGCATGAGACCATTGGTTAATTATGTGCTAGCCATTCACTGTGCAATCTGATTATCAGGTTTTGACTACATTTGACTGAGTGATTCCCGGACATGAAGCTATAGTGTATTTCGAAATGGGTAGAAACTTTTAGATTACTACAGTGAGTTACAACGATTACTGTGTTCAGTTAGATTTATCTATGACATGCCGATCGCTGTGCAGTTGTGCCTTCTTTGTGACAACGACTAAGCTAAATCGGACTTCAAGACGAACAGTAGCAGATTTGAATGATTAAAAAATGGTTTAACATGCAGTCAACAACTCCCAGCCCGCCTTTGGAAATCGCGTTTCAGTTGTCTCATCGAGCTTGTTAGGAATCATCAGCTGAAGTGCACATCCACGAAGTTACCATTACGACTCGAACACTGGGTGCTTTGTGGTAAATCATACACCTTATGACTAAACCTTCAGGGAGTTGCCCCTCAGCGTTACGCTTCCAGTCAGCACTAATAATGTAATGCCTATTGATCATCGGTTTAGGACGGTAGCAACGTGTCACCCGTACATCGATCCACGAAGGTAATACAAACATTCTACGGAGCTTGGCTGGTTGATCAGTGGTTTTCAATGGCGAGTTAAACGTTTATACTGTAAGACGAATGGGCTCCTAAATTGGATCTCGCTACCGTCAGTTTTTACAATGCTAAATCACCAGCGGAATGCTTGATGGGACAACGTGCCAGGTGTGACCCTAGAAGCGAAATGTGCTTCCACACGCGAGGTGGGTACCGTAACTGATTGCTGGGTAGATTCTAAATTGCATCTCAAACCAGTCGTAGTCTGACAAAAATTAAACAAAACTACTGGTTGGCCCCAGAGATACGGAGCGAGAAGTTTCACACCGAAAATGAAGCTATTCTAGGGAGTAGAGCCAACAATTTTCGATATCGTCGAAAACATTTCACGCGGACTCTTCACCACTCCTCTCTTTTTGAAATGAAAGTGGGTAGGAGGATTTATTTCTTTTTTTCCTAGTATTTCAACTAAAGTGTTTTCGTGCAAATCTTCATCTCTTCTGGCTTCTGGCTTCTGGCTTTGAAGCAGTCGGGGTTCCATTTTATGAAAGAATATTCTGAGTGGCTTTTGTTCTTTTGGGTTTAATGGGTTTAGTCAGTTTGTAATCCGTATTTTTTGGTCTATCGATTTTGATTTGAAATTCGTCACGTGGCTACTCGATAGACTTCCCAAGTTACGGTTTGCGGTGTTCATACTGTATAATAAATAAAAAGAGAAGAAACGAGAAGGAGAAGATAAAGGTTCGTTTTTTTCACTTAACGGTTAGAAGCGTGACTTATTTCGTACAATGCTACTAACTGCATCCCATTTAGACAACACGTATCCATTCATGCCAAGGCACACAAAAAAACTTAAAAGAATCACTGTGTTGATTTTTTTGATCCGATTCGCTTTATTTGTTTATTTGCATTACTTCAATCACATGCGGTTTGTAACAAAAGGGGCTCAGATGCAAACTGGACATTTTGGTGTTTGTTTTCCACAGATTTTTTTATTATTGATTAACTCGATCCGGGGTCGATTTATTCGATCTATCACCACGTACGTATTTGCCCTGTCTACGCTGGGAGGTAAGACTGACCACGTGGTAACCGATACTCGAACAGACATTCAGCTCAGTTTTCACACATACTGTCATAGCTGAACTCAAAAACGAAAATTATGATTAAAACGTTTACTATTGTTGTGGCTGTTCCATTTGGGTCTTTCAACAGTGCATCCCTAATCGGCTAATGATCTGCACAACGTTTGTCGGAGTGATACTGATACTGATTCAAAATAATCAACCATTCATAGAAAAAAATTGCACTGACTGACTGACAAATTTCTGAAACTGCATTCACTGAGTCCAACCGTCAGCCAAATTTGTCACTGTTCAACTATAGCTACAATTGATGTGCAAATCTGTCCACCTGCGTGGATTTTTACAAATGTCGTTTACCTGTACCCCCTCGCTGTAACAGACTGGAGGGAAAACATTTATATGCTGTCATATAATTTTGAAGACATGACGGGATCAGAGCTGTTTCTAAGGCACTTAATACAGTCCTTTAGAAACCGAAACCAATTGTATCAGTTTTCTCAAATTTGTTAGGTTGAAAAATAGACTCTGTGGACCCTTGTCTATCACTCGGAAAATCAGTCAGTTTTCTTTATCACAACTGTCCCGGATGCCCCAGTCAAATGGCTAGTCCAGTGAAACAACATCGCTTCCACTTATGTCCAAAACCCGATCACTTATGAGGAGTCCAATCGAACTGGGGACACAATCTCATTCGGAGCGATGCGGTGACGGTGTAGGGTACGACGATAGTACGGATCGTGTGACTGAACAAATGGAACCGCTGGTCAGAATCATTTAGGCTGAGGAAAACAAGGAGGCATTGCTGATTTCTATCTGATTTGCATTTACTTAGAGAAAACACACTTGCGCTACATTTTCCTGTTCTTTCCCGGTAATTCAATTACATAATTAACGTCTTGCATACACCACACGAACGACGTTCACTATTCGAGCATCTCTTTCAAAAGACAGAACGGTTTTGTGTACCGAAGACCCCCGATTGTACGTCTGAAGTTAGAACTTTGTCCGGACGAAGATGGACTGAATTTGTCAGACTAGTTGTTTCCATCGTGGGCACTAAGATGTACTTGTGGCTCCCTGTGCTCATTGCCGATGCAATGAAAAAGTGCAAAGAAATACCAGGATTTATATGGATTAATTTATACGAACAGATCGACACGAATAGGGGATGTTAGCCAATATTCAACACGCAGTACAAAATAAAATGGAACTGTAAACTTAGATTGCGTGAACCAAATACTCACAATAAAGGTTGATTGTTGGCGTTGATTGATCTGCTGAACGGGAAAAAATTCTTAGAATATATTTATCTCATCGTTCTTCCTCTGGTACCAAGGTGAAATTTTTCACCACATCCGTTTTTGCATTGGTGGCAGTACAATGGTCCCAGCGGGTTCCGTTATTTTCAAGTAAAAACGTAGGACATCATTTCGGCTTTGTACTGAGAAAATATCAAAAAATAAAGGAGATTAAACTGCTAGCCGCAACTGTCCGAGTCACTGTCAGCTGTGAAAACAAGTCATTAGTGAGCCTGGATCATACAGTGGCTCGGGTAGCTTCTCTGACACTCAGTTCCCCATGTGCATGATCTCTGGGTGTAGAATATGTATGTCCAGTTCCTGAACTATTGTCAAGTCTATCCGGTGTCTAGGCCAATGTGGAGTGACGCGCAAACCTCAGAAACTAAATCAACTAGCCGAGGTTTATTAGAGGTACTGTGAACGATAATGAATCAGTGTTTAATGTACAAACCTCAAAACGTGGCGTTCTCAGGGGAATCACCGTTCACTTAAGTTTTGTACGGTTCAGGAAAGATGACACAAACTAGGACCAATCGGCCACCAAGCCGGTTATCGAACGAGTGCAAGAATGACAGGTGATGCAAGAACACGCGTTTAACGGACAAAACGAAGAGAGGCGAACATGTTGACAGCGATCGATGGGTCGACTAAGCAGCAAGTGGGGCAGGCATTCACTCAGGTACGCAAGCAAACGATTAGTCACAGGGTCGAAAAGGTCACAGAGTCTTGTGTGACTCTACGCGTGTGTGTGTGTGTGTGTGTGTGTGTGTGTGTGTGTGTGTGTGTGTGTGTGTGTGTGTGTGTGATAAACGGGCAACGCTTGCGAGAGCGGAAGAATATCGTGAACTGATAACAGTGCAACCATGTGGTCAACGTCTAGTGAGTCACGAACATATCGAAACGGGTTCAAATGTATCATAAGTTGGTGCTGAAGAATGAGCACGGTTGGAAACAGTCGAAACTGATTCAGCACTGGGTTTTATGTGGGTCACCACTGAATGTCCTTGAGTCGTGGCTGCCGACTCTCCACAATGGCATGATAGATCTTTGTGACCACGGCCCGTGTCCCTGCTGTATGTCGGAATGAGGCTAGGAATACGGAATGCACTGAAAGCACGCAATAGTCTCCAAACCAGGATCAGGATCCTTTTATTGAAAAAAAACACGAAATTGAAACTGTACTCCGCGGAAAATGGAAACCGTGCAAGAATCTGTAATACGGCCAAACAAACAAGTTCACAACTCATTTATAATCATCAAAGTTCCTTCCGTCGCACGTACAGGTGAGCAAAAAGGAAATAATCTCAGGCTAATTACGCCCGACGTGGTATCGAACAATGTGACGAACCCTCTCACTCAGGGTTGCTGGCGACACGGTGGGCATTTTTTCTTGATGGATGCGTTCTTATCCTTGTACTTATTTTTAACAGAAAAGACCTCAATTTGACCAATCAACGAAGTGTAAAACATGTTGCAACTTACCGATATTTGTGACAATGCAAGATAATAACTTCTGGGATCCGTGAGGGAAATAATCGATGAGGAAGATAACCAAATTAAACACGCATCAACAGTTCTGATGTCTCGGTTTACATTTTGCTTACGATTCATGCTCGGGGACTACAGGGCTGACTTCGCGGGACGGGAGCATTTTCCTGAGTAGAGACGTCTCGTGATCGAATTCACACTGGAACTACGCGGCAGACCGCTGAGAAGCGGAAGAAATTTGGCCGATTGGGTGATGCGTTGCACAATCGCTTCACCACTTAGGTACACTCGGGTCCCGGCAGCTAGTGGACCAGTTGGTGCTTCCATCCATTCGCGAGAACGTTTGCAACGAATGTGATCCGCCGAATGGGAAAAGGTCGGTCGACTGACACGTTCCACCAGACGTATTTCTTCTTCTCGATCTCGCAGACGGTTGGTCTCGTGCACCGCGAAACCGGAATATTCAACCCCAAAAACAGTCCGTTCCCCGGGTGATTGATCACAAATCGGACATCGACCGCGTTGTTTGAAACTACTTGCTGTCGTTGGACGTGACAATCGGTTCAAATCGTGTCCCAGTTGATGTTCGCGTTGAAATCGACCAACGTAAGTTTGGGTCTTAAACTGACCAGACATGTTGAACAAGCTAGGTCTGGTTCGAGGAGACTGCACACGATAGTCATTTTTTGAAACACCTCCTAGTTGGATTGGTGCTGTCATAGGATTAATCGGAGATCTTCGCTTTCGGCGTGAGTTCTCTTTTCGTCGGATAGCACTGGCAATTGTTTGATTGTCATTTAGTCGACGCACAATACGACGCACAGTGGGCCAATCGACAGGGTCGCGAGTTTGAAAATGAGTACATGTACTATAAGGGGTAGACGGGCGAGTAACAGAACACCCACAGTCATGTGCTTCGGTCCATCGATCCATTTCTGCCCGAAACAGCGCCTCACCACGAGGACAAGTACACGGCGGATGGACACTGGACAAATCCACTTCTCTCGTCCATTGCAAATTTAAGTTATTCAACGGCACAGAAACAAGGTGATAGTCAGTGATCGATTGTAAATCAACCAGCTTTGTAGATGAGTCATGTGTGTCGGTACTTTTGGTGTCGGCACTACGTGCGGAAGGTTTTGAACCCATTGAGTCATCTCCGAGGATTTTGATTGTAAATGGTTTGACATCCGAATTGAGCGGTTTTCCTACTGAAGGACTTGTCGGAGAAGGAGACTGAATTTGTTGCACTGGAACCGTTACCCTTTCAAGTGGTGTTTTCAAAGGTACACTTTTGTTGCGTAACTGATTCGCGTTCTGCCAGGCTGCATGAATTTGAGCTTGTAGCACAGATATGGTCGGACGAGAAAGTCTTTCTATCAGCTGCAACTGAGTTTGCCAGTCGATGATTTTATATCCATATAATTTGCATGGCGCAAGGTGAATAGGTCTTGATTTATACAAACTACTTGCCATTTTCCAACCGGTAACAATAGATCTTCACACAGTTCGAAAGACCAGCGAAATGTAACTTAGAGACGAGTGTTGATATTCCGAATCACTGTTGTCTGCCTTTGACACTGCGCTCTTCTGTGCATACTGAAATTATAAGGTCAAACAATGAACGATAGTTGAAAATCGACCTTGAACTGAAGTGTACACAAGCAAACATATCACTCAGACAATCGAATTGTACTCTTACGTCGCTAGTGGTTAGGTAATAAGTTCTTTCGAAGTGAGGGGACGGAGTGAGTAAAGTAATCGTGCTATCGATTTGAGTTTTCCAGCCTCAGAGTAATTATTTCCCAAAGCTGTTAATTATGGATTATCATTTCCGCATGAAGATCACTTCATTAGAACGAGAGAAACGGTTATTCTCAATAATTCTAAAATGATTCAACTGTTGGAAGTCGTGCCGTCGTAGCACAGCTGGTAGAGCACGCGCAGTGCTAAGGTGTGGGTGGCTTCTATGCGCGGGTTCGAACCCCGTCGAGGTCGACAACATATATATATATATATATATATATATATATATATATATATATATATATATATATCCGCAGATACGACAAAACAGTACAAAAATAGTGTCATCTACGGCGCGTCAATGAAGTATACCGTTCTCCAGTCTGTGTGGTGCAAGCCTGGACCAACTGTGATAATAATCTTGAGTGTGCCGTCATTGTAACCGAGGTCTGATTATTCAGGGCGCATCACGTAATGCTCCATAGAAAACATGATAAATTATCAAAACCAACATGGGTAAAACCCGCATTTCCGTTAAGGTGAGAAGTACCGAAGAATTACCAGAACGATCATAATGCACGATTTTAAGGTATGATTAGGTCATATGTATGAGGATCGGGTTCTGCTGTCGCCAATACTTTTCTAATTTCTACCCGCATTTTAGCTCCAATACAAAATGACAGGCTGTGATTCAGTGTTCTGGTTTGGAATGAGACCCTTTGGCTTAGCACCACAGATGTGATTCTCGGATCAATTAAAAGTGTGCAAACGGTAAAGATGCAGGGGGTGGGGATACAGAAACTTTTGCTGCAGGGTGTGTGTTAGCAACTGTGGTATTTAATGGATCGAGTAGGCTGAACCCCTCGCAGAACTATTTAGAAAGATGAACTCCACACCAGCATGGAATGTAACGTATGATTCAATACAGGCGGACTCATGTAATGTACAAATACAATAACGCAACAGAGAAGCAGTCCCTCTCATTTATCCCATCTGTCGTAGGCTAGGTTGAAGTGAGGATGTTTGTAATCCCTTCATGACTGAATAAATTCTTTCAGATCTTCTGAGAAATGATTGTTCCATGGGATTCTCGCATTCAAATGTATCTGGATTAGAATTATCATTTAGTGCAAGAAATGATGAAATGACATCAGACTAACCTTCGTCACCGAACCGTATCTGGCCAACATGACGTATTTGACAGGGAAAACCATCTTGAACCAAAATAGTGAACATCCGGTTCCCATTACACGAAATGTTGGTCCTGTTTGCCAGCCGCAAGTGATTACCTCCAAAATAACTGACACTGTCATTAAAAATGCACTCAGAATACGTTTTCAAACCACGACACTTAAATAACCGAGTGGGACTTTTACCAGTAACAGTAAGCTGCATACGGAAACTGTCAAAAGCACGATTAAGTTCGATATAAATGAACGTTAACAGAATGAACAGCTTATTTAAGCGTGTGTACAAAATCATCTGCAAGACCACTGGACGGTGGGTGAGGATCAGTGGTGTACACATTTGACGCCTGCGTCTGCAGCTCAAGAATGAAGTCACGAATGGATTTGTTTTCACATTGAGCAAGGCAAATAAAAATGGCTTTTTCAGAGACAACGAAATTTATCAGCTTGAAATATTGTGAAGTAGATAGATTTCGGGTTAACACACTGTAAACTGATGGGAGCGGACGGAGAAGACAAAATTTCCACAACACCATGTGCATTATCTACAACTAAATGTAGAAAACGCCGTCTTCTTTGAGGTTACACCAACTGTCGAAGCGTTTCATGTAATCCTCGACCTTCATGGATGTGGAATTGATGTTAAAGATCACCAAACCGATCGCGGTCGTATTCTTTTTCACAACGCCAGATACAGCATTAGATGGACTGAATACGTTGAACCTCATGCAGACCTACTGAGAAATTAAAATGCCATATAAGTATCGAACCTAGCAAATTATTTGTTACACGCGGAATCATGTACAGATATCGTCGAACTGATGCTCACGAATGTCCGATGAGCATATTTTGTGTTCGTACACAACAGTATTATTGCGGAACTACATGATTTTATATGTACGCCAAATAACAAGTGGTGACGAGGTTTTACGTCAATAACCCTTGTGTGGTAAATGCCTATGCTCAGAATTCAGACAAACCATATTTTCGGCACTACATGTGGACCACAACTATGACGGAAAATAAGCCGCTAAGGGAAAATGGAACATTATTTTACATTGAATTAACCCAAACATCATTCAACACACAATGTTCATGCACGGTATCAAACATTCGGTATGCCTTCTTTCAGGATCTTTCACGGTTTTGTCGGCACACATTCCACCACGTAGGTGATGAAATAATTCCTTATCTTATTGTGGTGATAAAGCAGCTGTCACACGTGATACGGTCAAGTACAGCTTCGTAGCCACGTACGCGGAGAAGCCTCAACCAATCAGGGTCGCCGCGGACAAATCCGACAAAAGCTCCCTGTGGTAGGTCATCTTCAAGTCTACCAATTATCTTCTCTCATTTAACAAATTTATGCAAACCAGTTCTGCAATACAATTAACGCGCTGTTTCACAGGCTTGATCTTCTTTCTACTTTCGTTCGCGTAGTTATGTATGGGGGCAATTTTAATACGTCCTGTCAGTTCAGTTCATCACGATTATTACACTCATGCACCAACATATTTTGCCATTTTGACCCCAGTGGTCAGTGTGTAGATAGCCCTTTGACTACTCTATTTAGAACAGTCAAATTTTACAATCACGTTCAAATCTACGCTAACAGAGAGTACTTGTATGAACTAAGCCTCGAAGTTGTCCATGCTTTCTCAGATCTCACACTGAATAATGAACAGACAAATGGTTTTGCTTCTTTTATTAACGGATTTCTCTTGAAACATAGCATGAAGTGTTGTCCTGAAAAACTGTTACCTACTCAAGCAACTTTCTTCCGTTGAATTCGGGGACTTTTTCACTAATAACGGTGATAATTTCCCCTACATTCGAGTCATCTCTAACCAGAATCCACCAAAAAAGCTTAACGTGTTTTATTCCTATCCAAATCAATCATCTTCGTTTGTGTGATATATCGCCATCCAACGTGATAAATTTTCGGGGGAAATTCCTACGTCAAATGACGTTTTTCTGAGCATTCTACGGCTCATCAAATACCGAACACACATATGAGAAACGAACTCATCGTCAAAACGACAGGCCTCATGATTTGAATTCCTTGATGAAATTAGTATGTGCCCTCATTTGTTAGGCTTGCAACGCGGCTTTCATATCTGCTGATACTAACCAGATTGAAAATTTCTGCTATCTCATGTCAAACAGGGAGCGAGAGAGTCTGGGAATATTCCTGCACTCGGTTAAGGGTGGGGATTTACAGCACTGTTTTTCGACCGTAATGCACATGAGGTCGTCCTATTCGTTCGATTTTCTAGGTATTCCAACTCTGAAATGTGTATTTGGGGTAGTTTTTCTGTGATTTGATCCGATAATTGATGCTCCTATTCGCGTTGAAACGCTGAATAAGATACGGCAAACGAGATTCAGAACTATAGACCTCTGCACTTTTGCTTTGGTTTTCGTCACGGATGCCGAGTAGATTCAGTTTGAGCGGATCTTTTCACCGTTTTCACCATGACAATAAAAACGAATGATGAGGCGCGCTCAATCGGCCTTGAGAACAACACTCACGTCGACGCGAAGTGGAATCCTCATTTTTTGGAATGTCCGACGGACATCGTTAAGAGACAATTGCAAAGCACATTTAACTCGAAATTTTCAAATTATGGAAGAATTGCGCTTGATCTTCTCATATGGGCACAACCATCAAGACCCTATTGGCCGAAGAAACTGGTTGTGTCAAAATATTTACATAGTTAACCAATTCAAATGCAAATTGGGATAATTTATGTGATCTGGTTGAATAATTTTATGATATTTTCATACGTTGTTACATTTTCGCATACATTACTGAGAGCATCTTACCGCGGGAATCAAGGTCACACACATTCACTTACCCATGGCGCAGCAGAATGAACTTAAATAAGAGGAAAATTCGATTAAATAAATATCATTACCCAGTGGGCTGATATACCCCAATTAAGTCGCGAACCTCGAACTATAAGCTGAGTAAATTTTCGAATACATCACAGTCGACTATACCTGTAATGTACAGATGTGTAATATAACACAAAGAATATTTTTAGGTACTGAAGAATAATCACTGTCCTATACCACAACAACCATCGAACAATCGCCGAATTCGCTACCAAATTCGCACTTGAAATAACTTGTGCATTGTTTGTGTAGTAAAGAGATATTTGTCACCCACATTATTTTTCAAATCATGTTAGAAATAATTAGCTTCATTTTCGCACATTGATGATTTGCCGTCAGTCACTGTTTCCCGCTATAACTCAATAGAAAATGACAAATCTAAGCAAAAAACGGCAAAGGATAATAGGAGGGCCGGGACTGTCCAAAGGCCTTCGAGCCGGTAGAGGCAACGGGAATTGAACCCGGGAAATCAAGATCCAAAACCCGCAACGAAAGCCATCTAAGAACCACCACGTGGAAGAGCACGCATGGAAATCCAAGCAAGCAAAAAGAATCTGAAAGCAGCTTTGTCACTGGGCAACCGCTAAATACCCATTTCAATCTGTATCTGGATGTCTTGAAGCTGGGGTTTGTGAACCTCATCTGCGAAGCCAAACACATCCCACACGGTCGAATCCATGAATCAACGTTTTCATGCCTGCCACAGATCGCTGATTAGTCACACTTCTTCGTCTAGGGACTTCAGATCTACAACGTTACACTGTACCACTGCATTACGTCCGCGGTCTTCCCATCAAGTTCGAGTAGTACAGAGAAGATAAATCTGTGGTTAAACACTGACAGTCTTGTGGTACCTTTTACATTTCGCATATTCTACCATTTCCTTCTCACTGCATTGTGCAAAACGTTTAATTGTTTTATAAAACTAATAAAGACACATTTTCAACGCACTCGCAAGTTGTTACCGCGGATTGTTCTCTCGGTGTTGCTTGTGAGCGTTCTGAGACCTGTGGCGATTAAAACCAAACTCATACAATCCCCAACTCCATTTTCAGCGCACCTATCGCCACTTGGCAGCCAACACTGGAATTACTAAGATCCATTCGAACGACATACAACCGCCTGACCGAAGCAGCATCGAAACAAATTTGAGGAGCGATTTTGCGTGGCCGGTTTGAAATCAGTTTGCTGAACATTGTAGATAAGCTGTGAGTCACCTTTTTCTATTTCTGCTGTGTCGTATTTCTGTACACCAGCATTTGTCAACATGCTTTATTTTGTTTTCCATCATCACCGAGCCGCCACAATCCGAATGTACGTTCAACCCACAAAACTCGGGGTTTTGAGCTGGATGTTGATCGAGCTCCTGGTCTTTATCAAATGCACGTGATTCAGCTCCCTTTTCCCCGTGTCTGAGGCAACGTGGATGATGCTCTTCGATTGCTACTTTATCGCTAGGCTTAGATAACTTGCAACTCGAACGGCTACAGCATCATAGATGATTCTACAACGGTGATTTATTTCAGTTTTGGAACGGGATTACGAGTGGCTAAGTAGACACACCCGATCACTATTGCACGCAACACTCTTTTATTCACGATTTCTCCCCCCCCCCAGTAGGAGTCTAGTGGAGAGTACTTTCTTCTCAACCTGTGCTATTGTTACTGGCTTTTTCCGTCCAGTTCAGTTTCAACCAAGAAACTTCCCAGGGTATGAGCTGCTCTTAGTGACTGCATAGGCTCTGCACAGAGTATCTGCAGTGCGAATGTATCTCACTGTGTGCACAAGGTATCGCATTAGAATGTGCCTGTAGTCGAATAGTACAGAAGTGCAAAAACTACGGATTTTCCCGTCGTTACCCAGTTTTGAGTGATAATTCTCAGACAACGAGTACACTGAGCTTGAAATCGCCTAAACCGGTTACTGTAAGTACTCTTACAACGATTTCGTCACCCAAGAAAGTTTATGTGAAGCAATTAAAAATATTATATTTGGAAACCGCTTACATATTTTCATATCACAATCCAGCCTCTATAAATGTGAACGCATGTCAATTGGTCACAGTTGTGACTTCATCGAAGGCCGGTCCGAACAATGACAAAACATCGCTGTCGGCAACTTTTGAGCGCATAACCATCAGAGATCTGCGCAACTGTAGTCATACTGGCGGCGAACCATGCGTTTCATACAATGTCAAGCAGCAATAACATAGGCACTGGCTTACCTGTAAATTTACGGAATAACGAACTGTATGGTGATAAACACTTTGCACATAACTGGGCATTATCCGTTCTATAGCGAACGGATGTGTTGTCAAACGTGAATACAGAAGCGGTACTAGATTGTTTTTTATTCACTTTTCTTGAACAGGCCCCGTGTACTTTGCAGAATACCAACCAGGTGATTTTAGGATAACACTCGAATTCGGGTACTTCGGAGCCGGATATACAGATCAGAACGTTGAAGTCAGGGGTGAGATGGCCAGATATGGCAGTACATCCTCATATCGGAAAAGCTGAGAACTAGAAAATACACCGGGCACACCAGCCGAATTGAACGTTCCACCCAATGTACGCACTAAACTTCAAGTGACAAGGTTCCATACGGGGTCTTCCCCGAATGGCAGATGGGTAAAGGTTTTTCTTCGGGACACCGTTACTCAAGTCACACTTTGTCCTTTTAGATTTTCCTCCGCAAAAACACGCAGGGTAACCGTTTTCTACCAGTGTTTATAACCAGACCTATGGTTTATTGTGAGCACAGTCTCCTTTCTCGCGAAGCCAAGCACTGAACTAGGTTTGTTTTGTCTCAAAAATGAAAACAATATGAAATATGGTCTACTGTAGAGCTCGAGTATGCTTTCAACTATTCCTTCGGCGCTCCTGTGTACTGCGACACTCAGGAAGACCAATGTACCGTTCTTTTCGGTCTCTAACGAGAACTGAATGACTGTGCCATGTTTAGTGTCTGCTTTATCCTCACAGTATCGGTGTCTTTATTTGTAAGGAAGAATAATTACGTGCATCTGAGTACCGTCGAAATGAGCTCACTTCTACTGGAGGGGACACTCCCTCAGCTTCTACCATCACGCTCGTCGAGGAAGTCAACGAGAAAAGACCGTGGATTGTCAACCGCGTGTATTTTCACTGGGCCTGAGTACAGAGACCGGACGCTGGGTTACGCCGAGGAAATGTGTCGGAAGTAGCGCTAGTGGTTGCAGCGTGCGCTAAACATGCAGTCAAACAAGTGATAGATGGGGTCTGATCGGCTGATCACTACAGAGGCCTTTTTTAGAAGACCGCCGGCAAGAACGGCCTCAATTTTGGAGTCTGGCAACAGAATAAGTATCTCATGCGCGATAACGTCAGTGAAATAAAGGAATGATGGAATTCCTTGTGAATTTAAAATGTTCGTGGGTTTGGATCGCCACTCCAAAGTTATCGGATCCGCGATGGTATCGTCCGTAGATGACATCCGGTCATCTGACGGACAGAAAAAAGTATGACAACAGAAGAAACGTGTAAGATTACTCCGAAATGAATGGATATTTTTTTGAAGAATAAAAATAAACAACTGACTGAAACCATTGTATTTGAGCTAAAAAATGAATTGGAAACATGGGTTTCCCAAGTAGGAAAGTAAAAAAACAAAACAAAGGAGAGTATAATAGTTACATGCGACAGAACGTGACGGTTGGCACTCGAAGCAAGACACTGGGAAGAACCGCCGTAACTGGCTACCCGACCCGAAAAACCTCGTAGGTTCAACGCGGAAGGTGGGATTTTCCGGTGCTTGCGGCGATGATATCAGTGGAGTTTTCTCTTCGCTCACCTCAGTGCGTGACCGTGTACAGGTGCCGCTTGCTGACCGGGTGTCGTGGTCGGTCTTTCCGGTAATTCGTATATCCTGCGTATGAGTACCTGGTGCGTGTGCGGTGAATGACGATTGCGAAGACTTACCGGAAGGCAGCCGGGTTCGTGTCGTTAGCGAATGGGTATTTTGAAAGCGGTGCGAGTTTTCTCTAGAACTGCAGGTTTTTAGTGACGGTTTCGGGAGAGGATGGATGAGCAGAACATTACCAAATTTCTTTTAGCGATAAGAAAGAAATGGTAGATAAGCGCAGTGTGGAAACAAACTTCAAGTGAGGAGCAACAAACGTGTGTGTAAGGTTTTTGTGTCTACTTATAGAATTAAAAACACCGTATCTGCAAAACAAACGGGTATCCTGAACACCACTATGCGAGTGAGAATCAATAGGGGCAGCTGTGCGTTGAAGGTTCAATCAGGACGGCCAGCCAGGGTCACCGGCTTTGGTATGGTCGGCAAATGGAGCGTCGGGGGCGTGGGAGCTGGTCCTGACGAATTCGATGAGGTGGGATCGGAAGGAATAAGTCAGTCCAGAAAAGCTGGTTTGAATCGGACCATGGTAACCGTACCCTTTCTACCGCTGTGGTCGATGACGAATGTTTTCTCCAGGCGGCGTAGGACCCTATGGTGGTCAGAGTAGGCAAGTTGTAGAGGAGCTAGTGCCTCTGTCCCAAGGAAACGTGCGTACAGTCTTGGTGGTGCGGGTGTACGTAAATCGTCGTGTTTTGTTCACGAGCCGTGGCAAGATGCTACTTAGGCATCTGGTGCGTTAACTTGGCGGTGTAATCAGCATGGTCAAAAGTGACGATGGACTTTACAGCTACCAGGTCGCCAGGAAGTCGAAGCGCGCAACCGAATGCGAGTTCAGATGATGTGGTTTGTAGATCCGCCATAAGAGCGTTGCAGGAATCTGGGAGTACGAACGGTAGCGAATTCCGCTAATCTGGGTTTTTGTGAGCTCCTAAGACTGCCTTGAGTTTCCGATGAAAACATTCTGCCATTCCGTTTGCTGACGTGTGTTAAGTTGTGGTATGAACGCGACATGTGCCTAAGCGTTACAGAAGACTACTGAAAGCCCCCTCGAAATATGAGTCGTGGCCTATGGTAACCACGACTAGACAACCAAATCCTACAACCCAGTTTTCTAAGAAAGCTTGGGCGGCTGTTTCGCTGGCTGCGTTGGGCAGAGGTACGGCTAAAGACCATCTGGTGAAACGATCTATGCAAGTAAAAAATATGCTACTCTTTGACGAAGGCAAAAACCCTACTAGTTCAACATGCACGTGTTGGAAACGTGAGTTGACAGCTGGAAATTTGGACAGTGGACATTTTGTGTGTCTATGCACTTTCGATTGTTGGTACTGGATGCAGGTACGGGCCCGTCCGGTGACGTCATGGTTCATGTTGTGCCAAACATAACGGGCACTGATTAGTTTAGTGGAGGATTTTATACCTGAATAGGACAAACCGCGAGTGGTTTCATGAACTTGTCGCCTAAAAGCTGATGGTAGGACTGGCCTTCGGTGGCCTTTGGACATGTCACACAGTGTGACCTTCGGCTGAAGGAATGGGACCCGACTGGAGCCGCAGCGATGAAGTGCTACGGAGTTGCTCAACCTCGGGATCGTCTGCTTGTGCGGATGCAATAGCTTCGAGGTTGATCGAGCCGGAGGTGCTTAGATCTAGGTTGTGAATGCGCGACAGCGCGTCCGCGATGGGATTATCGACACCTGAGATATGGCGTACATCACTCGTAAACTGAGTGATGTAATCCAGATGTCGAGACTCTCTGGGAGAGTGCCTGTCCGTGGTGACACGCAATGCGTAGATGATCGGTTTATGACCGGTGTAGACCGTGAATTCGCGTCCCTCTAAGATGTGTCTAAAGTGACAGATGCCTAGGTAGATAGCAAGGACTTCGCGGCCGAAAGTGCTATACTTGGATTCGGCCGGTTGTAGTTTTCTGGGGAAAATGCAACGGGTTGCCAAGTGTCGGCTAAGTATTCTTGAAGTACCGTGCCTACGGTATTGTCTGATACGTCGGTGACCAAGGCAGTTGGGGCCGTTTGCTTAAGGTGTGATAACGAGGCTATGTCGCTGATAGCCTACTTTAGCATGTGAATGCGTCTTGTGCGGTTTCTATGAAACCCAGTTGCTCCGCTCTGCCTTCTAAAAGATCTGTGAGCGGTTGCAAGAAGTGAGCGCACTGTGAAATGAAACGCCGATAAAAGTTGACCAATCCGTCGAAACATCGTACTTGCTTGAATGACATGGGTTCTGGGTAGTCTAGGATAGTGTGCACATTATCTTGCATTGTCATAATGCCTGTGGAAGTAACCTTGTGGTCTAAAAATTCGATGGGGTCGACGCCTATTACGCACTTTTTCGCCTAGATCGTGACCCCGTGTTAAGACAGGCGGTCTCAAAGGGCGTGTAGATTTGCCAGATGTTCTGCCTTAGACGAACTGGCAATCAGGATGTCGTTGAGATAAGCGAACGCAATCATAACGATATCCCTGATCTGAGATCTTACTGGGTGGGATAGCTGGGAGCAGTTTACTGTATTTTGATTGTTGACTAAATTTGCAAGCCTCTTGGAAGCGAGACTCGAGAATAGCGATGAAAGCCTCCAGATCTTCCGGTGTGAGGTTAAGTGTTCTCATGTGCGCTGCATGGCACTCTGGTTCATCATTGGGCTTAGGCTCATTGCTCATTATCGAAAAAGGTGCACTATGGAAGTGAACTAAGTTAGGATCCCCAAAAAGTTGTTCGTTGTTCGTGATATGCAGAATCCTGGATTAATTGCGAACGAAGACCAACCGATGAAGTAATGGCGATTGATAAAAAGATATGGTTGTACCCCCCCCCAGAAAAAAATGTACGGAGTTGAATGTGTCAAACCGGGATATTTATATACCAGACGAAAAAAAGTCTAACTAGTGTTAGACAGAGTATGTGACCGATGAAACGGAAAAAAACTACCGATGACGTGGCCTGGCTAGGTCACTTTGGTGGACTTAATTACAATTGATGAATGGAGCGGGTTCACCAATTGTAGGAGAACACACCCCCTCAGCTTTTACGATCGCGTTCATCGAGGAAGTCAACGAGAATAAACCTGGTGTGCCAACCGCGTGTGTCCTCATTGGGCCTAAGTACAAAGACCGCGCGCTGGCTTGTGCAAAGGAAGTGTGTCGGAAGTGGCGCTAGTGGTTGCCGCATGCGCGAAACGTACAGTCAAACAAGTGATAGATGAGGTGTGATCAGTTGATCACGAAAATGACGCCAACGCAACAACAATAGTTACAAAAGTGGGAGTGGGAAGTACAACAGGGTAGAACAGTCAATCTTCGCTAACCTGCGAGGTCGAGCGTAGACCGGGGGTCCCTGTGTGACAATGTGTTAGGCTATGTCAGTGGTGATCGGAGACAGGTTAGTGTTTGGGCGGAAAAGGTTACAGTGCTCATTGAATGAACTACCAACTTCTGGTTCGGACGTGGGAATCGGCATGAAAATTGCTGATGACCGAGCATGGGTTAGGGAACCAACAACGAAATTCGATGTAACCCGACCTACGAGCTGTCGCTTACCGGGATCAACTACTGAACCATGACTTTCTAAAAAATCTAAACCTAGAATAAACTGGTGCATTCGGGTAACGACGAGAACTGACGGGAAAGAAGGACGCATGTCAAGGTCTAGGGTGAGAAATTGTCTGCCGTATGTTGGGCTTGGAGTGCTGTTGGCGGCTTGCAGTGTGAGAGCTGTAGGAGAGACAGTGGGCCGTTTTAAAACGTATTATACTGACCTGCGCCCCTGTGTCAATTAGGAAATACATACCGGTAGTCTTCTCTTCCACGTGAATGAGGCGACTAGGGACAGGGTTCCCCACAGGAGGTCGTCGCCATCGCCCCCCTCCCCCCCTCGCGACCTAGTAGTTTCTCTTGTGGGTGCGGTAAATACAGGGTTTTGTGCATTTACGCGCCCGGGATCCGAAACGGCGATGATGGTAACACTCGCTGGATTGTGAATTTGCTCTCGGGTCATTCGGTGTAGAACAGCGGCGGCTTTGGCTTCGTGAGCACAGGCTATTGATGATGGTCTCGTGCTGTTCGACCACCTGCATTAGACGGCCAACCCCCTGACATAACGTCTGAATATCAGAGTTGCTACCGGCTACGTTGTGCTGGGTGTTCGCCGACACAAGGTTAACGACGGGATCTGGCAGAGCAGCAGTGGCGTTGGTAAACGCGTGGGACTGTGGGGCAAGTGCATGTGCCTGCTTAAGAACCTTTTCTACAGCTTCGGCGCACTTATCCAAAGTCTAACCTTGTACTAGAACGGCAACGATGCTGTGAGCACATGATGGAAGCCGCTGCATCCATAGTTGACGCTTTGGTGGTAGGCAATCCGCTGCCGTCCGGAACTGGACGTCAAAAGTACATCTGAGGAGGAATTCTCTTAGGTGCTCACACGGCATACTTATTGGCACTTGGTTAGTGAACCTACTAACCGTTCCACGATCCCTTTCTGTTAACCTAGCGGCTTAGCAAATACCTATATTACTTTCCGCATTACTCCAGAATTGTCAAAAGTATCTGGAAGTACCAGTCGACTGGTCGGAAGTTCTGAGTTTCTATCAACCTCAACCATGTCGCGTCGGTGGCCGCACCGCGCGTTCCTCCTCTGCGCATCACACCATAAAGTGCGGCATGAATGAAGCACGTGCATCCGACCTCGTTGGGACCGGAGCTAAGAGCCTCAGTCACCGTTCCGGAACAAAATCGGGTAAACGCGCGGCGATCGACAATAAGGCCAGTGAGCGGAGACAGGCTTCTTAGTCAATTCTCACATTCTGAGTGGACAAGACGGATGAAATCATTGCGCTCACAGCCTAACTCTGAGGATAACAATGGAAAACGAGGACTACATCGCAATTACAATGATGCCAATATACCCTGATTTTAATTGATCTTTACAGTAGTTACACTGAGGTAATGACTCATTATTAGTATGCATTTATTATCAGGTCATACGAATGGTTGGCTGCAGTTCGGCTGAGTTCTTCAGTGGCAGCTAAGCAACGCTCCGGACAGGTAGATGCAAGAATTATGAGCGTGATTTTGTTACCAGCATTATATCCAGGAAAGCCTAACAACTGGGCTCGCGAAAGTGGTATTTTGTGGCCGATTCAGATCGGCATGTAACATGGAGTCCAAAGTCACAGGGGGACCGAACGAGGTGTGTATCTAATCGGCTGCTGCACACTGGATACACGTCCGGATGGTAGCGTGTGACAGAGACTTATCTTGGTGAACCATTAATGAGATCGTTACTATTATTTCAACTGGGACTGGCTCCTTTACTGCTGAAGATCACAACGATTTTTCCAGATTTCATGTTACAAAATTTTTGACTAAATTCTATCAACCGGATGTTGATTCTAGAGTAATTTTCCGTGGTGCTGACATTTACGTTCCCGTTCCATCCCCTCGAAACGGTCTAACACTAATCGTCCAACTTACTTGACAAGGGCCTCGAACATTTTATCACAATTATTTATTCAAGGAACACAAATCTGACTTTATGGTTTTTCTAAACTATCACGATTCTGGGCGCTTTGACAGAGAAAAGGACAGTCTGAATTGTCAAAATGTCAAACGATCATGTTTTTTTTTACAAGTGACCCGTGTACGTTCCTTTACATTTCCGGCTTTTTCATGATTTTCAACGTCCCCTGGTGCAACACCCACTTGCTGTACCGACATTTTAATGTACAAAATCAATACGCACATTTTTGAACACAAAATCTTCCAATAAATCATTCGTTCTGGCACGACTTCGCTTTCTGATTGGCGGTGTCCTGGAATAAACGGAACCAGTGTTCTAAATGTGACTAATAGACATCTTAGAGGCTTTTCAGGTGACGTTTCGGCACACAGTCTTACGCCTTCGCAATCAATTCAACAATCTGCCACCAAGTCCTGGAAACCGAACTGAGTTACAGTGAAAACGTTCATTGACTTTGGACGTTCAGTATCCAGATATGTACAGCAAACACTGTGAACAACTGCGAGTTTGTCTTGCACAATTCATTTCATTGCGTTTATACTGTACACAACTTTTTTAATCTTATCATCTGATTACGCTCCTCCGCCAGTTTCAGTTTGGGAGTGTTATCCTAGACTGTTTTGACGTTCATTTAGTACACCTTGAGACCAGTTAGTAAACCACAAAATCCGTCACGTTGTCAACTCTAGCGCTTTTGCTTTTCACTTCGGAGGCCATATCGTTAGGCTTGTAGTATGGATATGGACTATTGCATGAGTCAGAATTGTCTTACTTTTGGCAGTGCGAGAACACGGTGAAAAGGATAGTCCATCAACTTCGCATATTCTCAACCAGAAGGTAACTGTATTACCAGGCACTATCCGGGCTAGTTGAACACTGGAGCAATTAAAGTAATTACAAGCGCTGTGTGCGCACACTATGTTGGATCTAATCACTCAAAAAGTGCGACCGAAGCGTTCCGATTATCCAAAAAGGTTCGAAATGGGCAATCAAAACTGATGAGGTACCACGTCCTAGTCACAGCAGAAGCGGTTGGTGTTTGTCTCTATGATCCTCCATTGTGCACTCGAAAGCAGTTTGTGCATTAAAGCCTCCTCGGTTCACCCTCTCCATCCCCCAAACATAGCCGAGATCCACGGATCAGAATAATTACAGCCGTCGATGGTCCGGATCACGCGTATGGATCTCAGTCTCTCTCCTTCTCTCGCCATATCCCACCCCACGACTTTTGTTCTTTTTATCTGAAATTATTTATCTAAAACGTGATGTATCGGCATGATTTAAAAACCGAAAACGAGCTTTTTCGCCACTGTGTTGTTCTCCATGTATTTTGTAGTATAACTGAATCAAAAAATCTATTTTCCCGGTCATACCGGCGCCACCTAAAAGATTATAAAAGCAATAGACTTCATTTTTGACAAATGGTGGATGCAAGCAAATAAAATAGACAACAAGTCACATCTCCCCATCATCATCCTTGTTGTAACAGACATTTTGCTTCTCGCTTACTGCGTTGTTTCCCGACATATGGGACTCGGTATACTTTGATGGCTTGTAAAATCAGTACACAACAGTCACTAACGAGGTAAATCAACTGACAGTGAAAACACGTGCACAAGCTGTAACATTATACAGTCCAGTTCTTTAAATTCTAGCGCGTGGGCTAAATCTGAACACCACTTTCTAATTTATTCTATACAGACACGGAGAATGAGAAATGAACGGGCCAAGTGCAATTTGCAAACAAGGAGGAAAAGAAAACGAGCATTTCGGTACGTTAAAAAGAGATAATTGGCCACAATGCGACCTCACTTAGTTTAGAAATGCTGATCTATCCCCATGATATCATGATGTAGATCAGTCGGAACAAGATAGCACGCGATGAATCCCTAGACCCATTGTACCACTCGAAGAGTGAGTTGTATCGTCAGATATTGACTAGAGTTCAGGATTAACAGACATCAACGCAGTTAACAGCTCGAAAGTACGAATTGATCAGGATGAGAGAGAAGTTAACCGCGTTTCGTAGGGTATGCTCACGGAACAAGTATAATTTCGATGACTACACAAGCGTGACGCTCAGTGAGTGGTTTTGGTATGCAAATCGAAGCAAGCAGTGTGAGTTACAATTTCCGAAGATTTATTTTGAGGCTGTCAGAATAAAGTTTATCTACTGAAAAATTCAGTGGGATGAAATTCAATGTCAGTTAAAAGTAAGCATCTTCATAAAGTATATTCTGGCAAGCGTTTACTGATGGTTCAAGGACTGTTACCATCGTTTTAAAACAAAGATAATTTTAATGGAACATTATCGAAGGTTGTTACCGAAATCCGTGTCCCAAGTTCACTCGATTAGTGATTTACACTGAAGCTTGAGTGCGATTAACGATTCACCGAGCCTTATGTGGTTGGCCACTTTAGGTCTCACGATCATGATTGCCGATTTCTTTTACACTATGAAACATGAAAATACACAACCATACACGCACCCGCTCTGCTCACTCGGATAACAAGCATGAACTTATCGCCCTCACTAACATTCGCGGAATAAACCATAATATCGACTCTATACACCATTTTTTCCAATATTCCTCACCTCTTGCCCTATTTTAGACCGAAACTCAAATCGCCCTCCTCATCAGACAACAATTTTCCAACCATACCTTTTATTCCTCTTTTTCACCCAAAGCTAGTTTCTGTGCCTTTATCCATTAGTCAGTCGCTACGTCCAGAATCCAAAATCTTGACTCTTCCAATCGTGAATTCCAGTTGATGTGGCTGAAGCTCCGACTTCCTAATTTTGATCACTACTTCTGTTTTGTTTACCGTTCACCCAAAAGTAGCGACCCACCGATCTTTGATTTATTATATTCGAACATTTAGCACTTGTTTGCTACGGATTCCAACTGCCTTATCACCACCTTTTATTGTTCACAATGGAGATTGGCTGATTCACTCACTCCGACCCTGGGGTGCCGAACCGAGCATTTCCCCGTGGTCAACAACCTGTCCCGACTTGTCGACCTCCCACATGTATCCCCAGTCGAGCTGGCGATCGTGCCTTATTCTCATTTCTGTTCCTTCTCTCTTCTCAGGCATCTCTGCTTATCCTCCGCTTAGCTCATCTGACCACTGTATTATTTCCTGTTTTATCAATTCTACTCGCCCTGCTCTCCACCCACCTCGAGACACGTATTTAGGCGTTACAGTTCAGGCAATTGGGACGGCTTTTGTTATGTCCCAGCTTTTTGTCCTTGGAATGATTGCTGCTTTACTTCAGACGTTTACGCTTTCGTTTGTAACTTCACTGTCATTGTTCTTCAAGGTATGAAACTTGTTATTCCTCGCTTTCCGAACCCGGTACACCCGAATCCCCCGAGTGGTTCAACCACTCGTGGTCGTGCTGCACACCTGAAGCGTGCAACACTTTGCAGCTCACGCACTCTCCACTCCCATCGCCGCTTTGTACATGCCAGGAACAGATGCTTATCAACCACATAGAGCCAAAGAACGTTTTGTCCGCTGGAAAGCCGAGCGCTTACTCTCATCTGCCACCGGCAGCCGAACATTATGGTCCCTTGCCAAAGCAGTCTTCCACAATTATTGCCCTTCACATTTTCCTCCTATCTGTTATTCCTCTGGTGATTTTGTCTGTAAATCACAGGCGAAAACTGAGGTGTTTGATTCCCGCTTTGCCTCCAACTCCACCCCACCCCTATATCCCACTCCTCCGGTTTCTTCTCCTCCTTCTGTCTCCCATTTGCTACCTCATACTACCACTAGGAAGATCCACCAAGCTCTACGTTCTTTGGACGTACGCAAATCTCTCTCTCTCCCCCTCATAAGGTTGCCCGACCAGATAGTGATCCAAAATTTTCACTAGAGTTAAGAAAACTCCTCGGTCTGACATTGGAGGGGGATCGAAATCCAAACAGTTGGTATGAATCGGTGACTGTTTCAATCTACAAAAAGGTGACAGGCTCCTGTGAAAACAGCAGGGAAATAGATCTGGTTAGTACTACATTTAAACTGCTCGCTGATATTATTCTCTACCGTTTATCTAACGTTTGCAAACAGTGCTCGCGCGAGAATCAAGCTGGGTTTAGACCTGGTCGAGGTTGTTTTGACCGCATCTTCACTTCTCGACAAACTGAAGAAAATAGGCACACCTCCCGTAGGCTCATCAGCTCCGTTTCTCTTGACCTGGAAGCGGCCTTCGACTTAGTTGACCGCACAGTTCTCTGGCACTGCCTCTTGTTGAAGTGTATCAGAGAAATTCATTCCCACCATAACGTTCTTTTACATAAACAGCCGAAGCCGAATTCGGGCTTGCGTTGATCTTTTACCCGAGTTTACCACGAGAAGTAGTGTACGTCAGGGTTCCCCTCACTCTCCTTTTCTCTTTAACTTTGTGATTGATATGGTCCTAGAGACCACACTTTTGTCAAGTGAGGATAGCAGTATTGAACTTTTCCCGGGTGGGAAGGTATCAGACCTTGAACAGGTAAGTTGCAAGCTTTTCTAGACAGCTTGGCGGACTGCGTAGCAGTGTTCGTTATGCGTTTTGCACCTTCAAAATGTAAAACGTTGTAGCAGAATCGGGTTGGCCCAGCGTCAAGATCTTTCAGTTTCTGGGGAGACTATAGATCAGGTAGACAAATTCTGATATCTGGGGAGTTGCATCTTACCCGGTGGTCGGATATCGGATGAGGTGCTTTTGCATATGCAGAAGGCTCGTTTGGCACTTGCCAATCTCAGTCATCTGTGGTGCTGACATGACATCCGCTTATCAATCAAGGGTCGGGTGTACACTGCAACAGTCAGGCCAGTTTTTCTGTGTGGTTCGGAGACATGGTCACTACGGCTGGAGGATATACGAAGATTGTCGGTATTTGAACATCAGTGTCTTCGTAGTATTGCTCGAATCTGGTGGGAACACCGTGTGAGCAACGCTGAGAGTCTTAGGTTCACAGACCAAATCATTAGATAAAACACTTAAGCTCACCAGGCTAGGATGGTTGGGACATGTGTTACGCATGTCTCCTGACAGAACCCCTCGGCGCCAAATATTCGCTGAGGTGGGTAACGGTTGGAGGATGAGTAAGGGTGGTCAGTACATGACATGGAAGAAAGGCATGAAAATCTTAACAAATGGACTTGGTTATGTAGGGCGTGTTAGACTCCCTGAGTGGGATCCAAGAGACCCTTCCACCCTATGGTTAGACACACTGAAGGATATAGCTAGGTGTCGTGATCAGTAGTGCTCTTTTAACCACAAACTTTCTTCATCGACCTAATACCAATATTTGCAGTTTTCCAACTTCTTTTATATTCACAGAATGTATTGTTGGCACGAGGAGCCTGAATCTTATGTAATGGAAAATCCACCTGCATTTTTCACATCGAAAAGTCGGACGCTGTGAGCCGGAATCGAACCGGCGACCCTCCGCATACCGGGCAGATGCTTTTATATTCTTGTTCTTTCTCGTTATTTCCTTCTGAGGTTGCCGTTAGGAGATAGGAATCAAAGCCATCGCACCCAGTACATGGTTACCGGCTGTTTGAACTGAACTGAACTAAAATTGACTGAGAACCACAGAATACTACATGACAACACCTTCATACATGTAGCCAGTCTCATCAGAATGTGGCTATTGTACCGGAACATCAAGACAAGGGACTCATCCACTCAAAGATTAGACTTGAACCCAATTAAAAATGTCTGGGATCTGTTAGCGAGGCGAGTCTGCGTGGACGACAGAGCCTTCGGAAATTCGGACGAGTTGACGTCCGCTATCCCCAATGAATGGAGTACTATAAAACACAAGACCATCCGGAGTATAACTGGAAGCTTGGCTGGACGTTGTGTTTCAGTCAACAACAATAAAGATCACTATTTTTTGTAACCAGTTAGTTGTTCATACAATAAGCCTAGGGGTGGGCTCAATAGCATTTCGCACCGTCTTATGAACTCTTCCCGGGACTCATCAAATTATCTATTTCATGCTTAAAACCCGTGTGCATATTCGGCATAGTAGTGGGTCGATACAACAGCATGCCAAATTTGGTCCCCTCAATTGGTTTGGATCAAAAGTAATTACAGAAAACAGGGTGGGTTCAATAGCGCTTTGTGCACTATACATATGCATGCATGTATAAAACAGCATTTTTTTTTAAAAAAAATAAGGCGGGTTCTAAAAAGAGCATCTCATTGATTACTATAACATCAAAATCTTATTTTACAGTGTAGGATGAAACAGTTTTTTAAAAGTAAGGCGCAATTCAACGATAACTGTTGAGAAACGATGAGAAACTAAATGAAACTTGATGGATTTTCAACACGACCAGTGATCAGATAAAATGAACAGAGCGGATATCCATGCTAAAGGATAAAGATGTCATGAACAACTGATCATAAGTTACGGAATATCCGTCTTATTTCCCTTCTCATGGCTTACCAATCTCTCTGTCAGTCGAGCCGCATAACCAGTTGTTCGTTGGAATCTTCCAGCAAATCCTGCTTTGTTTTTATTTTTGGGCTGATGACTCAAATTGCTTGTTGAGCTACTCCGAGATTTGGAAGCGCCAGTTAAAATGGATTCTTTGCTGTTGGTTTGGTCTTTAAAACCTTGTTTTGGGAGAACTTTCTGTGGAACGGTGGTAGGCTGTTTGGGCGGGTCAGGAGGTTTTACGGAATTATCCTTTTTGACGTTTGTGGAGGTCGCGACAATCTCACCAAAGTCAACTTCGGGTACAGGACATCTTGTACACTGAACATGCAAACTGGGGACCTGATCCGGCAGAACAGAACAAGCCGTATCCAGTAGTTTGTTAAACTCTTGCGACATGTCACGTAATGTTTGTGCTGGATTAGAAACATTAGTGGTTCCTGACCGGTAGAGCAAACGGGGCATCCAGAAACGTATCGCCAGATGGCGTCTAGTCGGCTGATCCACATTCGCCAAACATGCAGCAATCCAGTGAACAAGACGACCAGAAGGAAACAAAATCCAGGTTTGCGCAAAACTGGGGAACGCAGACGTGTTCCGGTCGGAATTCAGTGCATTCACAAGTGCTACCAAAGATCGGAACGAACCGTAGACCAACTGAAGAGAATTATAGGCATGCACGAATTCGAGTCGGTAAGCTGGTGAAACTTTCGACGTCGATTTTATCAGGTCTGTGCTGGCGGTTACTTGGCTCTCAGCAAACGAGGCAACATTCTGGTAATACTCATACAGATTGACCTCACTCATCTCGACAAACTGGCGATTAAACCACGTGGCTACTGCACAAACCAATACAGCTAGAGCTAATGGAGACTCGGTCAGACTGGATAAGCGAGGAAGCTTGGATTCAGATAGATGATGCCAAATGGCCAGGGCAATGGATAGATTGACCAATGAGCTACAGTTAGCTAAATCGGTCGGAATAACTAAACCTAAAATTCTTGACAAAATGACATCCACCCCATCCCGTTGAGAATCCAAATGGAGTGGTTTTACCGGTATTGAGCAGCATACCAAGTCAGGGCCGGCGCTCAGATGTTCGTTCACTACAAAAGGAGTGGGAACAGACTTGATCGGTGCTGTTAAACTCTGTTTCAATCCGGCAAATATGCGATAATGCAACAGACGTAGCGGCAAAGAACTTTCGTGTACGCTTTCGTCACTGTCTGGCAGCCCTAAGTGGGAAGACAACAAAATATCCGGTGAAACATAAATGGGAGATATGCACTTTGACGATAAGGTCGACTGGCTGAATGCTTCCACTAACTTAGGAGACCAAGTGGAGGTAAAATCCACTGTCACATCGCTGCCGAAATCAGCACCACTCAGCCGTTGCAGAAGATTAAATTGTGTGTTTGACTGAGAACCGGAACAATTGGGTCTCATGGGAGTTTGCCTTTCAGGAACCTCATTAACTCGAGAATGCCAGGCAGTTGATAAAGACGTACTTTGACTGAGAAACGTGGCCAGCTGAGGGGCAATGGCTGGGCTCGGAATGTAGGTCAATACCGATTCTGCCAATTTCTTTGCAACGAACGGCTGTATGTCTCCAGAGTAAGCGGTTAAGATTCTGCAGATCGGTTCCATGGAACCGCTCGAATGGAACTGGGCCAACCAACTGCACAACGAAAGCCATCGTCGTGTTTTATAGTCCCCGGTAGATGAATTAATTAGTCCGTAGACATGTGCCGGAAGTTTGATGCGAGGAATCGAATCAGACCCCAACAAAAGAAACAACAAGGGACGGTAGAACTCGCTCACCTTGTCCATACAAGAAAGTTCTGGAACAAAACGATGTGCAGGAAGAAAATGGCATGTGCCGTTTGCAGCATCTTGACAGGAAAGCCGAACCGATGGAGGCCATGCGGTGGAGCAAGAGCCGGTTAACGGTTGCGGAGTGCCAAAGTCTGTAAGGTTGAACGGGATGAAGTTGAACCCATTATGCAATCTGGTCGTGGCCGGAGCGGAAAGTACAAAATATTCAGGTGAACAGCTTAACAGTGGGCAATCCAGAGCGGCGGCCAACGCAGCACAACTTCGTCGCGGGCAATACGGTGAACGAACATGGACACACTGTTCCAAGTTTAACAACTCAATGAGAACAGTTTCGAGGAAAACTAAATCCAATTCCAACAGAGCAGTACTGATTGCTGAATTTGGCACCGGCGCTGCACACTTACGTCGGCGCGCTTTTTCCACCCGATAAATGAACTGTTGACCCTGAACGGGACAGAACACAGAAAAATTGAATGAGGTTATGAACACATGCAAATGAATGAGAACGAAAATGAAGTAAAACGTCCCTAACGATATGTTTCAGCCGGAACATAGGCACTATAATCAGACTGCGGAGTATTGAGAAATTCGCATAAACATAAAAAGTGGCACCTGAGAAATCGGATGGTGAGACGGACGATTTACGTCCGAAAGGTAAATAAGGTATCATAACACCAAGCATCACCGAGTATGGTTATCGAATTTCAGTCGACGGTCTACTTCAGCTGGCTTCATGAATGTGCCTGATTGTGGCTGTCCATGCTGCGCGGTTTGCTGCAATCGCAGCGTGGATAACAGAGCGTGTAGATAACATGATCATGAAGTTTCATGGGTGTTTTGTACAAGTGACGTTCTTACCGTCACTCGGCTTTTTTCGAGGGCACATATCTAGCCTTTGCACAACCAAGTGCGGATGGCAAGGCATTCACTCCGCTTGATACGAGCAAGCGTCCGCCACTTCCTTGTTTTCACTGTAGCCTGTCAACAAATTTTCTTTGATGTTCACCGTTTCAACTGGTTTCACTTAAAAATCACGATCGGGAAAAGGGAAAAATAGCATAAAATACAACTAGGAAACTTAGGATCTACCAAAGTACGTGGACGTCTAAGGTAAACGGAGGATCCAGATCCGCGAGCAGCATTGGCCTTCTTTCTCTGATTTCTCCATACCCGTACAAAGAAGCTTGCAGAACCCAGCACCGCTTTCAAAATACGGAAATTAAATGAAATAACTGTCCGGTTTCTAAACGGCGAGACACTTATTGAGACTTGTTACTTCATGGAAGCTCGCACTGATTCTTATCAGAAAATGCAAACCGGAACCCCGGTATAAAAAACTTATTTATCAGTTGACAGGAAACTATTGGCTTTTATTGGAGGATATGAACCGACTCAAATGACCGCAAAGTACTGATACAGAATGAAAAGTGGCACTAACGGTCGCTTAGGTGTTCGTATGTGGCTACTTTTGTTGTGTACATGAGTCAGTGTTTGTAGGTGCATCGGTTATCGAGTCAATACTGATCATCATCCATAGGAGTATGAAACCAATGGGGCAAGTGGAACTCCGTTCCAATGCCCATGTGCGGGGAGTTGATTAGACAGTGATTGAATTGAGGTAACCAAACCACAGTATGAGTAAATACTCTCAACTGTATTTTTTAGTTACACAGGAAGTGAATTAGGGTAAAAGGGGTGAACTCCCGGTCACTAACGATGTTCGAAGTGGCATGGTGGGAGGCGAGATACGAAAGGGAATAGTGAAGGGTGGCACAGTCGGCAAAAGCGTGAATGGGGTTGGAAGTGGTGGATAACAGGTCATTATTGAAGAACAGAAAGAGGGTGAGTGAAAGTATAGAACCCTGGTAGAAACGTTAGAAATAAAGCAACAGTCACCCCAGGAATAGGAGAGCAGAAAATCACGAAACCCATCCAGGTTTGGCTAAATCGTAATGCCAAAAGGCACGTCTAGTTGTAGGGAGGAAGTTGGCGAGAAACGGTAGTAGAAAACAAGACAATGGTCCGACAAGCCACGTGGAGAATGGGAAGTAATATCAAGGAACAAAGAGGGGAAGGAAGTGAGAAAATCAAGGATATGTGCACGATCACCAGCCGGATTGGAAATCCGTGCGAGGAAGTCAACGAATCGAATTCAATTGTTGACCAAAGCGGAAATCCCGGCTTTGCACCCCACAGTCGTAGTGTTTGAAGGGTGCAGAAGTCAGGTCTTGTGGACATTGAATTCCCCAAAAATGGTAACCTGGCAATTTGAATCTGATGCAAACAAGTTCTCAGTGATAGAAAACAGTAAATCAAAGATTGAGGGATCGTTACTGTTGGGAGAGCAATAAACGGTACAGAAATGACTAATAGAAGGGAACCGGAGCATCAGCCAGATCAGCTGGAACTCGCGACTGAAAAAGTCCAAGTGTGAAATAACGGAGGCTGCGATTGGGTGGTGGATGCAGGCACAGACATCAGCTTTAAGTGAAAATGAGAGATGAGAAAAGCAGTTGGGAACCTGGAGATGGGTAAAATCTGGCAACGGATAGATGTCACAGTCGAAAATGATGCAAGGAGACAAGAATGTTGGAGAATATGGTGTGCCGAATCAATATTGTGGTTCTGATCGCGAATGTTAGTAAGAGTGAAGTTTTTTGGTAATGAGTACTAAGAACACGTGAACGTTGGTGCTTTGTAAATTTCATGTTTTTTTAGGTGGAACCGGCAACCTAACCCTGGAGCTTGGAGTATGGAACCACATACAGCTCCGATAGGAAAGGCGGTGGTACTATCTCGGGGAAGCGACAGCACTGTCTTTCACCGTTTACATTATATCAGATCACTCACGCCACAGGGCACCGCATGAACGTATTTTCAACCATGACAGAAGACCAACAACCGGTATTTCACTACCAAATTGGTTATTTCTACCTGTGTGCATTTTATTGCGAAGGAACGTACGACCAATTGGTGGATGAAGTCAAACTTGTCGATTGTAACCAAGAGTATATCCATGTGCGTCTCCCAGACGGACGCGGAGACTGTTTTACTTCGTCGCATGGTGCCAACGGGTGTCGGGAGTGGCGGATATTTAATTGCACATGCCTCGACAACAAAGGCAGTCCATTCCATTGAGACACTTCCTGTATTCCCCTTTAAAAGCGTGCAGACACACTAATGAAAGCGCTGGAGATACAGCAATATAACAACGCACTAGATCTGATTACCCACCAAACAGAAGTGTAATGCATTGAACGCATCAGAGGCTCGCCTATTTAATTGTCTCGCCAAAACCGAGGGAAAAGGTCATGTATTTGTTATATTATCGCATGCTTCCCATTCATGGATTTCTGACGCGCTGTTCTCGTTTTTGCTGTAACGGATTTTAGAGGAGGAAAGCCGTGCATACTAAGCCTTTCGTTTTCTTATGATTGGACTTAATCTACGTGTGATTCCAGTAGCCACGTTGTTTTGTTCCGCAACGACCTCCAGAAAGAACTAGTAACCTAGTGAATCAAACCGACGAAATCTAGTGAAAAGAAAGAAATACAGGATCCACCGATTCAGAGGAAACATGTGACCATTCGACTTCAAGTAGCCCTCCAACACTTCGCATCTAATCTGGGATGTTTTTCGTATGTGCATGAGCATAAAGACATATCCCGAGACCGCACAGACGCTATTCGAGATGACCAGCAACCAGAATTTGAGGCCTGGAATGGAGAATCGTATTAGGTCGCAATAGGTCACGCGTGCTTGTGAGCCGGGTGACAGCGTGGTGTTGTCTGCCAAAAATGTAACCCTTTGTAGCGGGGTTGGCATCTCTCACCTCAGAAGTGACAGAAACTTATACTACTCGAACGTCAGCAGACAGTTGTGGCACGACTGTAGGACCAGACTAGTTTAGAGCAACAACGTAACTTTTGTTTTGAAGTGTGATTTCGTAACTCCGTGATTTCTACGTACGGCCTGTGCACTGGACTCCTGCTTACGACTCCGAACGCCCCAGCCCGCAATGGCCATGAAAAGACGGCAACACAATACACCAAACGACAGTATGTTTACATAAATTAGCAGCACGGTATTTAAAGCGAAAACGAAACATTCTCGGACTCGGGCGTCTAATCAATTTAAAGCCCTGATGGGTTGACTATACGCCGGAATGTTTGAACTATTGATTGTTGGTCAAATTTCCGCCGGACTGTATAGAACTGTTCGTTAAACCAAAAGGGCTAAGCCCTAAATGATCTAACGGCCTATCAATTACTGAATAGTCAACCCAGCCTGGCATGCTCGAACTGATTTGCGACTTGATTCGTGGAAGGTTTATTTTGTGGCTTCCTGAGATTTTACCAAGTTCACAGGATGTAAACGACTGTACAGATGACTGGAATGATATTCCTGCCTTGCTTCTGATAGGCGAATGGAAGTTAACGATGTTGTTGGTAGACAGTTGGACCACTCGAGTCAGTTTTGTCAACCGCTAACTTCGCCCATCCGTGACCTGCTTTTTTCTACTCAATTGTAGAGAATAAACTGAAGCATAAAAAGACAGACGTAGTGAAGAAAGATAAAAACCGTAGCCTGTATTATTACAACGCTTGGTCTATTGGGAACTTGTGCGGTTCTTCACTCCAAATCTTAGGGGCATGGTTGCCGGCGATTCTTGACGGTACAATGGGCTTTATGAAGCACAGGGTTCGAATGAACCTCAATAAAAAAAATCAAACCACTACTTATTTTAGCCGGTGCAGTTGTGGTTTTCATCACAAACGTTACTGGTAAGCAAAATCACCACTCACTCTGAGTTCGCAATCGGCAGAAAATAAGAATACCGGATCTAGTCGACATCGCCTGATGTTGGAGAGAACTTCTTTCCATTGAATCATTAATAACAGGTATTCTCCACCCCAAAGAACATCTTCTGGTTTGCGCGGGCTAAAATATTGCACGAAATCATTCCCATCAACAAGAACCGGTGTGTTGTGCAGCAAAACGGTTTCAAAATTGGAGAAGTCCTTGCAGAAGATTGAAAGTGCCGCAGTGACTGGCATGTTTCAAGTTCGACAATGCTGTTATCAATATGAAAGTTTGTGAGCACCTCAAATTCAATCCGTACACCAACCGAGTCGAACAAAACTGTCCGCTTGAAAGTCCTCACGGTTACCGGTACAACCCCCGAAACAGTCGATAGGCTTGAGGCGTTTCGTTACCTATACTATTGTTGCGAGGGAAGTGACGTGCTGTTCAACCTGGGTTTTGCCTGAAAACGGAGATTGCTAACAATGAAATACGTTCTCATGAGAAGTATAAACGCTCGTTTTTATTTTAAGATAAATGAATGAAAACACACTTCTTGTTCGGATGATGTAAAGTGAAGTGATTTCAAAGTGTAGCTCCGGAAATACCGAGGTCCTCGATTTATTCATTTCATTCCAGTGAGTTTAGTCTAATTTTCAAGGGTGCATTGGCCAGTACGACGAGACTGCGCCTTGACGTGGTAATGGCTTGAGTGCCTCGGCATTCCAAAGATTTATACATGATGGCTTCCTAAGGCCGGGGATATAATTTTGCCTGACTAGTCAAAGGATAGAAGCCAAACAAAGTTCAGTCTCTTTGAACCAGTTGTTGCGCAACATTTGGTTCGAGTCACTAAGCTCCTGGAGAGGACAACCCAGCAAATAAACACGGGGAGAAGCAGCTTAACTGCCAAAAAACATCCACTAGATGGGCGTAGGAGTGGAGTACTTGGCGTTTCTCTCGATGGCGGCAGAAATCAGATTTCATTCGGCAGCTATCGCTCGCGGCTCAAAGGATGCTGCCCCGCCTATTTTTCATTTACTTCATAGGGTGCATGGGATTAAGGACTGAAAACAGAAAGTAGATCGGTAATAGAGCACCAACGAAGACAAGACAGAATGCATGCAACTATCAGGTCTCACGTGACAAACCAAAAGAAGTTCGTTCACGGGTGGTTTGGTCACACTCCGGTGCTGGGTGAACGCTTCACTGTCTCGTGGTTCAGACTTTGGGTCGAAGGCTCCAGTTGAGGTTCCTGAAGAAAAACTCCCTTAGCAGTGTGGGCAGCCGCAAGGTATGATTTGTCCAGAAACCTCTCGCATCCTTCCTGTAAATGATCTTAATAACTACCTTTCTTTCAATTTAAGATAGATGGAAAATGCCACTGGTTACTGCGACCCTGAAGAAAACAGTGGTTCAGGGGTAGGACATAAATAAAACGCGTTTTAGACCTACATGTTCACTTCACTTGGCTGTATTCAACATTCGCACACTGTCAGATAGAGCAACAGACTGCCCTCGCTAGGATTCGTGAAATTTTCAAAACAGGTATATTCTGTGTCTCCGAAACACGCATACATCTGTATTGAGCCGTATGTTTGCACTGTCTGATGTCTGATGACATTGACACTTATCAGGCACTCTGTGTCTAACAGGACAATCCCAGAGGATGCCCTATTGAAGGAGTCAAATGCCTTTCGGATAGCCATGAATACAACTACCGTTGGTATGTGGTGTTTGGCGGAGCCCCAAGGATTTGACGAGTAGCAAAAATTTGGTCAATGCAACCGCAACTGGGACGAAAACCTGACTGTTCTTCGCCTTCTGAGGTCAATCTACGAATGATTATAGAAGCAAACAGCTCCAATACGACTGATATGTCTTATCTCATGGTGGTTGGAGCAAACGTTGCAAGCCCCTTTCTTGCAGACCGGGATGATAGATGCGCAGTTCCAGTTTGGTGAGAAGCTTTCATGAATCCAGATCAAGTGGAAGAGGCTGTTGAGTTTCTGGGTGAGTGATACACCACCACCCCCGAAGAAGGCCGAAGGGAGATCATCTGGGTCAGGGGTCCCTCTGGCACTTGAGGGCATGGGCGGTCCCCTGCCCGGTGGGCGGGACAAATTAGATTGTCCATGAAGAACGATCGAGTTTAAAGAAACTACGGAATGACGAAACTGGTGCCGAAGGCCAGTTAGACTGTTGCTCAAAATGTACCACCCAGCAGTCAATACGGCGTGAAAGCTGTAGTAGTGGTTAGTTGTTGTCCTCGCAAATTGCCTTATTCACACCAGGCTTCCTATTGCCTGAGGATCGGATGAACTGAAAAAGCCTCTGGACGTTTTCAGTGGCAGAAGCGTGTTCTACCTTAGCCGCGTGTGTGTTGGGACCAGAAGGCCTCGCCGTTGCTGCGTAGGTTTCCTACTGATTTTACCCGAGGTTGAGTACGAATTGTGATTTTTGCTACCAGAAGGGATATCTTGATGGCTATCTAGCGATAAACGAGGCTGCTAGCACGGCTCTGACACCTCTTATGGGAAACCTCGTCCGGTACTTGGAACAGGAAAAGAGCAGTGGTGTTATGTGATGGCGAGCCACTCCGCCAGGGATGTGTAGAACGCTTCTCCAACAGACAACCACATCATCTAACACCGAGACTGGTCTTTCACGATCGTTCATTTAGTGGGCACTCGTCTTATTCGCGGCTAATCACTGGAGTGGCTGTGATCTTATTCGCTATCTGGAGACACACCCGGTAGCATTTAGTCGTATTATTCGCACTTGATCTTTCGGATGCTCAATCTACTAAATGAGTAAAACATTTTGAGTCTTTGACCTGATTCTGACGCGGTAATTGTTTGCTCGAAACAAGATATACAACATCCAGACGCAATACCCATCAATTTACTCGTTTACCAATGGGTAAATTTTATAGCCCGAGGGCTTCGATGCTGACCATTCCATTCGAACATCATCGACGGTCTACAAACAGCTTTCCTACAACACAACACTCATCGCGAAATCTACAACCCGAACCAACTCGATGTCTCAACTAATTACGTCACGCGATTTGCATGCGAACACATTGCTCAGAGAAAAAACGTACAGAACCTCACTCAATAAGGTGGGAGAAAATACATAAAAAAGAAAAACGAGGTTTTTTCTCGACATCTGTTGTCCTCGTCCTAACAGGGAACAGGCCAAGCACTGGAACAAATTCTCTGAAATCTAAAATCGTTACCAAAAACCGTGCTTTCAGGTCTGTCCCAGTCGAACAAGTCAAAACGACGCCTCCATCAGTGGAATGCATTCTGATATCACTGGACAATGCACTCTGCAAAACAGGCCTGTGGATCTCGATACTACCCGTAAACTCGCTCTCAGGACATGGCTAATCAGTTTCACTCGTTTCACCAGTCTGCTGTTTTATATTCAGCGCTATCATCCAATCCAGATATACCCCAAGAATAATACTCAGTCGCTTGAGTCGGATATAACAGCAGCAACTGATCGACGTTGATTCTGTGAATGATAGAAATCTTCGTTTCAAGTATTTTTTATTTATTAACATCGTACGGCGTTAAACAGTAGGGCAAGCCCCACTGACCACTGTCTTTCTCACCATGTTGCACGTTGAATTAGAAAGTATGAATATACTGGAGTGTCCTTTCCGAGGGTATAGTGGTTAGAACCAGATGTTTCTCATCAACTAGTTCAGAGACCGGACTTCCTCGGGCCTCTATCCATTGATCAGTCAGGCGTGATTACATCTCAGACTTAAAGAAATCATCCTGCATAGCCCTTTGGGTCATGGAGGCACGCAAGCCATCGCATCACACCAAGGTGCAGTCTCGTCGTGACGGCGTATTATTCACAGTGGATACTGCATTATTCGGACGAAATTCGACCTCTAACAAGCAACCGAAGGTCTCTGCCGCCGGGTGAAATCGTACCGTCCTACAAGTATATGCAGAACAAACTGTCGAGATCCGTAATGTCAACAGCAGATTCAAATGCGCTCTTCGTGGTTGAGATGAATGGGTCTGACGTTATTATTGTTGCAGCACTAACATAGAACACCAGATCAATTGCTTTATTTCCTAGCACACTGACATTCAATTAACGGTTTCATTCGTCGGTGGGTAAAGAGGCGCATATCATCGCTGAAGCCACCCAAAAATTGCAACATTTCAATTCAGTTCAGTTCATTCAATCATTAACCTCGCACTTGTGTCTGGCTTTGATTGCTACCTCCCAGCATCGTTCATCCGAGGGCAGAAAGTATAATTGTTATTAGCGTGCAAAACTCCGGGTTATCCCCGGTCAGTGATTCCTCTGGCCCCCAATTCCAACGGAAAAGTAATCACGAACAAAGCGCGGAAACTGTATTCAACTATAATCAAATCCACACTTTATACAATATGAGGCAAGGAATGCTTAGACATTTGACGTCGTTACTGATCGCCCAGCGTGGTGCGCAGACGTGATTGGTTAAGTCGGATCACAGTATCTTATAAGTGTGACCGCTGGGCGGGTTGATGTGAAAGATGGGCGGTAGGTTGTCTGTAAGTATTCCATGTGAACAGTGACGTGTGAGGGACTGACTGGTTCATGGGGACAGGCGTCACGACTGCAGCGCTGTGTGGGATATGCGGACCTTGTTATTCATCATCATCATCATCATCATCGTACAGCGTTAAACAGTAGGGCAAGCCCCACTGACCACTGCTTTTCTCACCATGTTGCACGTTGAATTAGAAAGTATGAATATACAAGATGGACAGGGACTCGACCTACATGGGTACGAAAAGGAAAAAAATGCCCTAGTAGCCAACACACGGAATACACAGTCTAACGGTACAAACGCACATCGATCAATCATTCTGATTCGACAGAAAGTGACAACACGATCGCCACTGTTCACAGTTCGCAGCCATATCCTTCAGTGTCTCCAGCCAACTGGCAGACGGATCTTTTAAACCCCAACCACGAAGACGTGAAGCACCTACTTTTCCAAAGGCTCCTGTGTATTTTCTCATTCCTCGTTGCCACGTCATCTGTTGACCTCCACGTGGCTTCTTGAACTCCC